ACGCTGTCACTTTGAAAGAGGAGTGAAACAGGAAGCGTTCTCAGCCGAGGGGCGCTTTTGGTTTGTTTCCGCCTCCAGAAAGCTCCATTTTCGAATGTACCGCTTTCGGCATTATTCGTCATGTGTCCCGTGAAATGGCAACTTTGTCGGTTTGGAGGGAAAAAGCGCATTTGTTGACTGTCAACAGAGAGCGAAAGATGATTCCGCTCCAGGAAGTCGTTTTGGGCTCACCGTTGCTCTTGCTCTCTCAACACGTGTCAACACTGTCGCCTTCTTGCAAAAGTGACAAAAAGAAGTGCCGTTCATGTGATCGAGGCGCTAATTGAACAGGGCACATCGACGACAATGCTAATTGCGCCATCCGGTGGAACCTCGTGTTTGATGTCCATCGTGTCTTTTGGTCAGCGTTTTGGGGCGTTTGTTTGGCAGCAGCCCTTCCGCACACTCCCAACGCCATCGCGAGTCGACGTTGCCTCCGTTCGCTTGTAGCTTCGACCACCCAGCGCCGTCTTCTTCGCCATCACGCTTTGACCGGATTCATTCCGGTGCGAAAAATGCCCAAAGGGGGAGTTCGCCGACCCGGCCGTCTTTGCGGCCGCGCGCTCGTTTGTTTGCCAACTGGTGACGTCGCGTGACTTGGCGCGAGCCTTTCTTCGGGGCGAGCTGGTTCGCCGATGCGACCGACGAGCCTCTTGTGAAGGGGCTCCGTTTCTGCCGACTTTACCGAGCGAAAGCGATCCTTTATGCGACGTGCGTTCAAGATTGCGATCCTGCGAAAAAACATGGCCGGCCGTGCTTTCTGAGTCCCTCCGTTTTAAGTGCTTTGTCGCCCTCTCGTGGCCTCGATACCCAATCACAAACCTCTTTTTTTAATGAGAGATGCATGAAAACGGGGGGATTCCGAACCTGTCCTCATTTTTCTGGCTAGTGGGGGTGTCCAGCCGCAGTGCTGGAGGCCTTGAGGCCTCGGGGCGGACGTGCAAACTCCAAGCGGGAAGGCCGCGGCCCGCCATCAAATCAAGTGGCCCATTGAGAAATATGGAAAAAAAAAAGCCCAGAGGCAGATAAGGACAAAGGAGGTCATTCCTGAAGCCAGCTCCTCAACATTTGCGATATGGTGGCCACTGCCCCTCCCGTCCTTTGTGCAACCAGCGCGCAGACTTTCTGATTGAGTTGCGTCTTTGCCTGGAATGGGACCAAACCACATAAAACGCACAAGTGGCGAGTGGGGTTTTCATTTTTTTTTTTTTCTTCCCCTTTCGAAACCTGCGTGGGCTTCCACCATTTTGAAGGCGCATGTGTTTCGGGCTTGTCACAGTGGATACCTGCCCCCCGCGCACGGGCGCATCCGGCATCTGCGAGCCGTTAAGGACGCTTCATCTCGGACTCGTCCGCACAGGCGGGGTGGGGGGGAGCTAGCGCGGAGGGCTCCATCTGCAAGTCATATGGTCAGCGGTCGGCGCGTTCCCACACAAAACGTCAATTTGCGCCGCAGGGACGGCGTGCAAGAGGTGGCAAGTAACAAAAGCACAACTACCTTGTTACTGTTCTTCCACTCGGGACGGTTTGTCGGAGAGCTGTCAATTCGGGGGCTTCCTTTCTCAAATGAGGCTACTTCCTTTTTTTCCGGCTTCCACGGACAGCGACGCCGTTCAGCGTCAACGACGCGTTGCCTTCGCGTCCTCCCCGGTCGAATCAAAGGAGGCCGCGCCAACGGATGGTGCGAGCGCACCGTGAGAGCCACAATACAAAATGAAGACGAGTTGTCATGAAGAACTCCAACGGTGGGTTGTGCGCATCCTTTCACCGAACACCCAACACAAACCATTGCGTTTGGTAGCCATCGCAATCTCTGGTTTCTGAAAGCTTTCAGCCTTGCTCTTTGCCTCCGTTTAGACTAAATGTGCAGAAAACGCAGACTCAGAGCCAACGTTTCGGAACCTCGCGCTACTGTAGCATCGCTACGTATTTAGAAAGTGCACTCGCGCTTTCTCGTGGGCGAAACCCACACTGGTTTTCAAAAGAGCGAATCATAAAAGCCGCCAAATAAAGCCAAAGTCATTGAACACTCCGACACGAAATACGTCGCCTTCTCAAGCAGGCGCGAAAGATTCCTTCGGCGTTTGACTTCTCACCTTGAGTTTTGTCCATTTTTACCGTCGAGCGCGTTTCTTCCCCGCATCGGAGTCGGCGCGACCTCTGAGCAGTTATTTATGTCAGTGGTTCATGATTTAGGACGCGGTCCTTTCCTACACCCTTCAAAATAAAAGCGCCGGCAGTGTTACCCTAGTTGGGAGGTCAAACATATCAATAAAAAAAACTAAGGAACATAAAGGCGAACTGGAGGAAAGTTGAACTGCGGAGCATGAACGATGAGGGCCCAAAGAGGCAACGGACCCATGCGCATCTTGCGCCAGCAGAAAACGCCTTCAAAAATTCTCCGTCTGATCCGGGAGAGCACGGCAAAGGTGCATTCCGAATGGAAACGGGTTCAGAAGTGCCTTTAACTGCCGCAAAGCACAACCGCAAGCCACTCAACTCACTTCAACATAGTTTCTTTGCACCGAGATTGCGCCACAGCACTACTTATATATGATGCGAGGCTTTGGCCTGAGCACAAAAACCACAAATCAAGTTTTTCAGGAAAAGCCCCCCCCCCCCCCAAAAAAAAATGAGACTCCACAATCAACTCATCACGAATATGCGGCCAAGGATTTTCTTGTTATCGTAAGATAATGGGGCATTTTTTTGTTTCAAACAGTAGCAACAGCAGCATGAAAAAAAATCTCGTCTTTTCATTGTGTCACGTTGCCAAAATAGGCTCTGTATATACAATTCAAAGTCCAAATTCATTGTTATTTTTGTCCTCAAGTACATTTCAGAGGTTGACTTGAGTCAAGCAGTTTTTCTTTTGTTTTTTTTTTCTCTGTACCTGTGCTTCTCGGATGGCACGCCGAGGCGTGTTGCGACGAATCATCTGTTTCCACTCACCGACGTGCTTTGGGAGCTGCGGCTTGTGACGGATGCGAGCAGATGCGTCGCAGCCACGCTTCGGCGCATTAAGATCAATTGTCAGCTCAAACGCTTTTCCTGCTCTTTGACCCGACGGGGGAAAAAAAGCGGCGTCGGATGAAGATGTGAAAGCGGCCTTCCCTCAGCGTTCGCGCAATCGCGATGAAACGAATGAAAAGACTTGAGAAATCTCGAAGGAATATCAATATTCTTCCTTTTTCATTTGAAGTCTGGAGCAGACAATTGTTGAGCGGGATTTCAACCCGTCCGCCGTATTGCATGTGGCTTTACTACTTGAATAAATTCGGCAAATAATATCAGAAAACTGAGTTCGGATAACATCGTGCAATCAAAAGGGGATCCAGGTCGCGGTCATCCTCACGTCCGAAATGCTCTCGAGATTTAGAGCTCAAGCGCTTCATCCCTATTCAGGATGGACATGAAGTGGAATGTCATGAAAGGGCGAGGGCCTGAATTTGGGCCTTTGTGACCGAGGCGGGCTTTTGAACAGGTTTGGGATTGAAATCAAGTGGCACGCCACCGACTCGTCCGCCGGAGCCTTTTTCAAGGTGACCGCCGCGCCGCAACCGCTCGGCCTTTCACTGCCAAATGACTGCGGCCGAGCCTTTTCCTGGCTCGCTGAGGCCGAACGGCGCGGCGGGCCGCGAGGTCACTCGGCTCGCTTGATTTGGCTCGCATTTACATCCGCTTCCTGTGTGGAGGGGCCCGTAAGAAAAGGCCAGTCGGGGAAGTCAAGATCAAAGATCAAATTGCTTTTGTGAACTGAGCCCGGATATTCAAATGAAGGCCTGTGTCAGGACGGGGCACTTTGAATGCGCCGGTGGGCAAACCGGGGATCGCGAGCCTGCTCGCGGCCAGCGGCTTTTCAGAAGCGCCATTTTATCTTTCCTGTCCATCATGGATAAGAGCTGTCCGTTGAGGCTGACTGATTTCCATAAATGCAAGTGCTATTTTTAATATGCCAAAGGTGCTCTTCCTGTCTATATATATATATATATTTCATCAAAAACAAGCAGTAAAATCATCTGGACAATATCAGATTTATTGGAGATTAATATTTTAGGCTTATCGGTTAGGTGAATGCTAAAATAAAGGCAAATGAACTATGAATTCAGTTTACAGTTGTTAATTCACTCAACACTTGACTTGCAAAATTCGACCAAACAAGTGTGGCGTAAACATATCCCAGTCCTGTTAGTCATAAATCAGATTACAACAATAAAGCAAACAAATCAGCGGATATATCAACTTTTCAGCTTTCATGAAACAATGATATGTAAAACAAGTGTGTGTGTGTGTGTGTGTGTGTGTGTGTGTGTGTGTGTGTGCGCGCGCGCGCGTTTAAAATATATAGAGATACTTGTGTGTGTGTGTGTGTGTGTGTGTGTGTGTGTGTGTGTGTGTGTGTGTGTGGGAGAGAGAGAAAAAATCAGCGACTTCATTTGAGGAGCATTTAAGTTGCAAATCCAACACACTGATGCCACAGTACACTCAGTGATGACATTTTATGAAACCATCTTAATTCTTCACTTTCTATTTAAATGGCATTTTATTTCAAATGATTGTTATTTATTTTAGAAAGGGTGGTGGGGAAAATTGCCATAAAAGGCCAACCGTGTGGTGGGAACGATTTGGTGGTGCTGCCACCTTGTGGTCAATATAAGCACTTCAACAAAAGGGAGCCCCAACAACGCCGTGCTCCTCACTTTTCGATAGCTTGTTAAAATAATTCACTCCTTTTTACGTCGAAAAACATTTTGTGCACAAACTGGTCATGGACACTCTCCACTTAAACGCCCCCCGCCCCTCAGTCCGTCACAAAGTTCTAGCATTAGAGTAAGTGTACAGTACAGTCCAAAACACACCCGGGGAAGAAAACAGGATGATCGACAAGGATTTGTAACCAATAGGCAAGAGCGGCAAGGGAGAAAGGCGGGACATCCTGTGGATCTGGCCAACGGGTGAAGCCGCCATCCAGCTCAACTTTAAATATGTCAGCAAAATAGCACGGAGGGGGAGTGAACTTGACGACTGCAGTCATATTTTAGAGAAACATTACATTATTTTCATCTGCTGCCGTGTGCCACTTTCGCTTCGGCCGAGAGGTAAATAATCCCCGCCTGGGGGTGGCGGGGGCCTTGTCACCGTGTGCGGCGTGTTTCTTAACCTTCCTTGTCCTGTTAGTAGCTGTCAAAACTTTTCTGACGCTGGACCGTTCGCTTTGCAAAAGGCAGAGGGGGAGAGAGAGTCCACACCACAGAACCAGAACCAGCTAGCACGTTAGCCACCTAGCTTAGCGTTAGCTTAGCTGCGCGAACGGCGGGTGGAAGGAGGTGTGTGTCAGGCAGAAAAGAACCCAAAAGACCGCACTCGTGGACAGGCGCAAACATCTTCGACATAAGAGCCGCGGTTAAGCCGTGCGTAGTTACCTGGAGCTCCGCTCTCTGTCCTGACTTTGATTCCTCAAGTGACGTTCCGCCATGATGGCCACTGTTTTTTTTGCCCATTTTTTAGGAGGGGGGGGAAGCCATGATCCAATCAAGAGTCCGCTGCAAGTGTTCCACCTTGTTATGAACGGCCCCGGGAGCAAAAAGCTAACGTTGCTTGCGTTCAACCAGACATGTTATTATTTGGTACGCGACATAACCTTGTGGTTAACGCTGGGGTAGAGAGCGTTTTATTAAAATAAATGAAAAACGTCGCCACTTGCTGGAATGTGAGTTCGTGCCGTTTGTAGCGGAATAGAAAATGCCGTCGTCATAACACGTCGGTACGTGAGAAAAAAAAAAACTCAAGACGCGATGTCACTGAAAAGAGTTTGGCGAAAAGAAGGAAACGGTGTTTACATTTGGTCAAAAACATCAGAATGTTTTTCAGAAAAGGAATGAAGCTGAGATCTTGAGGCCTCAGTTTCCTTAAAAGCATGGATCAAATTATGAAGGAGAGACCACATGAAAGTGGACGTTTTCACAGGATGAATAGTCAGAATTAAAGTAGTAGTCAATGGTTGGATAGCCCAAACTCCAACTGTTCCATGATTTGCAAGTTAGGGGGGGGGGGCTTATAATTCTTACAATGGAGGGCGAGCATTTCAATTGACCAAGAATCACGGACTCACTCGTGATTCACAATGGGGGGTTGACATGCGCGTTTTTCATTGATCCAAAACGGAGAGCTCAGCTTTGTTGGCCTCCGAATTGAGAGCTGGGATATATTGGAACTGACTGAAAACGTGGGACTAATGTGTTTCATTTGACAGAAAATGAATGTTTCGCCCCCGTTTTAAATACCCAATTGGTGTTGAAGTGTGTTTTCAATGGCATCAAATGGAAGGCTTTCGGGGATTTTAAGTTCCCCTCAATAGAGGGCTCACCTGTGTTTTAATTGTCTCAAAATTGAGACAATTGAGATTTATTTGATCATCGTTGCAAAGTACGACTGTCATGTGTTCGTTTTATTTTTTAGCATTGAGACGTTTTAAGGTGGTAAACTTTGATTCAAATCCTAATTTATGACAAACCAGTTGGTCAATTGATGCTTAGTGGCACTGACGGCGATTTTCTTCCTTGAAGGCGGTCTGCTTCCCATCTGGCGTCGCAGTCCATGTCCACCCATTCAGACCCGTCAGGTGGTATGTCCCATGCCGGCCCTTCCCCGGGTGCGGGCCTTTCACCCGGCCCCATCCTGGGCCCCAGCCCCGGACCGGACCCTTCGCCTGGCTCCGTTCACAGCATGATGGGACCCAGCCCCGGGCCCGGAACGCCCAACGCGGCCCACGGCATGCAGGGACAGGTGCAGAGTGACTTCTCGCAAGACATGATGTATTCTATGCACAAGGTAAAACGCGGCGCAATTCATTCCATTCATGCTGCGTATTCATGAAATGAAATGCCAGCTTTCGAGGTTCTGCTGTATTATTTGTCCACACTAAAATTGTCGTCTTAAATCAATGTCATTGCTCTTAATTTTTCAGCCCTTGGAGGGAATGAACGACAAGGCCATGGCGGACGCTTTGCACTTTGGTCACATGAAAGGCGTGGGCATGAGATCTCTCCACAGTGGCATGGGCCCCCCGCAGAGCCCAATGGACCAGCATAGCCAGGGTACATTTCAACCTTGTTTGAATTTTATTTTCACCATATTTCCTCAGATGTTGGCAGAGGGACTTTTTTTTTTTTTTTAATCTGAAAATCCC